GCCATTCGCAGAGCCCGCAGATGGAGTTCCATGTCGGCTTTCGCCGTCGAACAAATGCACTTGCGCTTGCGGGCCCGTGCCAGCACCGAGTCTGAGCCTTATCCTCTGGATTCCCCTGCGCCGGGTCAACTCCCGCCTCCACCTCTCGTCTTGAATGTATCGGGGGAAGATGAGGCTAGGCCGAGATCGGAGGATGGAGTTTTTCCTTTCCCACCTGAACCTCCGGTTCCAGGATCGCAAGAAGATTTTGCAAGTGATGACCTTGATTTTGTTACACCTTGGTCTTTACTGCAGACGGTCCGGGAAGTGCCACAGGACTCTTTGACGATTGCTTCTTATGATCCTCCGTCGCCATCGTATGTGCCTTCCGAGGAGCGAGAGCACGCTTTCTCTGATGATGGGGAAAGAGCTTGGTACTCCCCTGTGGCTGCCGAGCCTGAACCAAAAGACTGCCGAGTGGACATGGAGCCCGGTCGGTCTTCAGTCGAGGAGCCACACGTGACGGACCCCTTGCCGAGTGATCAACTGGGTGAGCAGTTGAGACAGCAAGCCTTTCTTGATGTCGTCAAGCGCAGGCGAACTAGTTTGGCATTCCCTTGGGAGAGACAAACCCTCTGCCGTACACGAGGCTTACAAGCTGAGGTTCCAGTCGGTGCCACAAGTGGGAATCCGCGAGTGTATCCAGACACTCGAGCCTGAGGTTCCTGCTCCCAGCGATGCTTCAGCTGTCTCTTGGAAGGTGGCCACGCGCTTGAAGAGAATTAAAATCCCCTTGGGTGACGACGAACTTAGGGCCGGGGCTCTTAAGAGGCTGAAGGTACTTGTCCTGTTGGATCCCGAGGGGACACAGCTTGGTCTGAGCTTGCTGCAGAAGACTTTGGCTTTGAAGGACGACGATGACATTCGACAGAGCTTGTCAGATGCATTCCGTGGCAAGGCATCAACAACTCTTCAGAAGCGTGCCCTTTCTTTGCAAGCATTGGCAGCAAAACACTTAGAGATGCACGAGGGATCGCCTTGGCGGATGACTGAGGACCAGCTTTATGCCATCTTGTGTGCCTTCCGAGCAGAAGGTGCGAAACCGAGCACCGCAAATCATATTCTTGAAGCCCTTCGGTTTTTCGATGGGGTGTGCAAACTGCTTTACACCAGTTTGGACTCTGTGATTTCGAGCCGCAGCCGAGGTGTAGCCAGAGAGCTATACCTGCAGAAAGCCCCTCTAAGGCAGAGGGATCCCTTGCGTTCGGAGCAGGTGCAGGGGCTTGAGAAGCTGATGATGAGTGGGATTGAGGATTGGCTTAAGGTAATCTTAGGATTGATCCTGTTCTGTGTGCATGCGTGCTGCCGGTGGTCCGACAGTCAGAGGATCAAGAGTCTCCAGGTCTTGGGCGAAGGACCTGGAGCAATTCTCTTTGCCCAGGCGCTCGGCTCGAAAACTTCGCTGACAGCGGAAGCCCAGACCCGGTTCCTGCCCTACACGGCCGTAGCTAGAGGTGTTGCTGACGTACCTTGGGCGGACGAGTGGCTTGCGGCAAGATCTCGCGAAAACCTGGATTTTCAGGTAGGGTGTGTGCCGACCTGGTTGGTGAGCCGCTCTCGCTGGGGTAGCGTGCCCATGTCAACCGACGAGGCAGGGGACTTCCTGCAGGATCTGCTAGCGAGGGCGGGCACAGGCGCGGATGCAAACATGTCGATCGGAACGCACAGTTGTAAGGCGACTCTCCTCACATGGACGACGTGGTCACCCATTGTGACCTTCAGCCCTAAGGAGCAGCGTCACCTGGGACACCATCTCAAGAGGGGGCAGAGTACATTGACCTACAGTCGTGAGTACTTTGTCACTTTGTGTGGTAAAGTTCTGGGGATGTACAGGACTATTAGAAGTGGGAGATTCAATCCAGATGAAAGCCCTTCCCAGCGTGCAGTTGCAATAGCAGATGGTTATGATCGCGAGGCTTCAGGGGAGATCTCTCCCGACCCGCAGGCGGTCTTTGGTGGGGGGCCGGGATCTGCGGCAGACCGCCGTCTGAATGACACTGAGCCCTTCGGAGACTCAGATGATGGCTCAGCCTCAGCTGAGTCTTGTGTGGAGAAGCCCGATGGAGCGAGGAAGCCACCGTCGGGGGGCCGCCTTCCCTTCGAAGCCGAGGACGACCGTGAGCTCAGGATCCATAGGCTGTCCGGCATCGTGCACAGAGTTAGGGAGGGAAATGTTTTGATATGTGGTCGTCAAGTGAATGAACGCTATCGAGCATTCAGTGCGAACGACGAGGATGAACCCGAGGTCTGTCAGCAGTGCGCTCGAGGTTTGACTTGATTCTGCATTGTGTGGAGCTAAACAGAGCGTTCGGGATGCGACTGAGCTGACTCGTGTTCTTGTGTGCATGCGAGGGTTCAGTGTCTGACCAGATGTCTCCACACTTGTGCATGTTGACTTCATGAGTTGTTTGACATGAGNNAGGACATGTCGTGGTGAATTCTTGTGGAGTTTTTCCGTCGATGCTAGAAATCAGTTCACGACTTGTGAGTCTCGGGTATCGGGTAAATCTTCTGCACTCGTAGCCGCGGACTTGTTGCAACATGGCGTCGGCCACTCTGGACTCAACAGCAGTCTTTCGTGAGAGGTGCGCTAAGTTCGGGCTTGCGCCCGAGTTGCTCCGAAAGATGATCGAGGCGGGCTTCGATACCTTCGGCAAGGTGGCATTCGCGGCCGGGGCAAATCCTGTGACGTTGACAGACAGTGCCGTCGACGAGTGGATCTCAACATTCGAGGATCCACTGCCAAGCCCGTTTCAGATTTCAGTCATCCGAAGGATTGTTTACGAAAGCCAGAATGTCAGTATTGCTGATCTAAAGGCTAGAGTAGAGCCGAGCACCGAGGTGCAAGTGCGCAAACTCCCCATGGCTGAGCGTTTGGTTAGACAGGAGGAGCAGGCCAAGAGGCTGACCGGGCTGCAGCTGACTCCGCACAACTTGCCAGGGCACGCGTGCGTAGACGAAGTCGTGGGCATGATTGAAAACAATACTTTGAAGTACCTGCCCATGAATCGCTGGATTAGCCGCAGTCAGGAGCTCGCTTTGCGCAAGAATGATCCAGCCGTCTCGTTGGACAACGAAGGTAACATAAAAATCAGTGGCAAGACCCCTGACTTGACTTGTGACACTTCGGGGCTGTATGCCCTCCGGCAAGCGTTCCAACGACGTGCTCTAGCCTTTGACTTGGGGCACCTAGCCACATTTGGGTGCATGGAGGCCTGGACGAATGACATTTTCGAGAGGACCCAAAGGGTTCCCCCGAAGGGCTATGCAGCGGTTAGCATTGGTCAGATCATTTCTGCGGACCGCGAGTTGTTTGTGCAGGCGGCCCATAAGCTGGAAGGTAAGCTGCAGGGTGTGCTCTCAGGGACACGCCCATTGGACGGCGTGCTCAAGGAGCTCAGTGTGTCGCATGAGGTTATCCAGTACTTACTGCCGTTGGCAGCTGCAGGTGCCTCACCAAATCCTCCGCCGCCACCTAAGAAAGTGCAGGTGGACCCACCGCCTCCACCACCTGAGGATGCTGCTCTTCGCGATCCGAGGGGCGGGGGTAAGCTTAAGAAGGCTCGCAAGGACAAAATCCAGATCGTCATCCCAAACGGGTGTTCTGCGAGGGATGGCCAAAACCGTCCGAATTGCTTTGATTACAATCGAGGCAAGTGCAGTCTGAAAGTTACCAAGGGCCGATGCGCCAAGGGGTTCCACCAGTGCTGGAAGGTTGGCTGTAATAAGAGCCACCCTTTTACTGAATGCACCTCGGGGCACCAGTGACGGGGTCAGGGGCTTGGGTCGGGAGCTCCGGGGAAATCTGTATCCGGCCCTGGCGTGCATGATGCCGAGGAGTATGCAACAAGCATTTTGCAATCTGGTTCCTCCCCAAGGAAGGAGCATGTTGAACAACTTTTCGATCTGTTGCCGCATGAATCGCCCGCTCGTGGTCTCGGGGCCACCGCATGTAGTTTCGGAAGTGGCGCCTACGCCAAAGGCGTGGGGATACAGGGATTAAGGAAGGAGTGTGTAACCTTTCCTCAATCTACGCGTCTGCTAACTTCTTATGTGCACTCCTGTTTTCTTGATCATGAATTTTCTTCAGTTATTCTTTTCTGTGATGCCCAGACGGACATACATGTCGA